GGGGCAGAACGCCGCTGAGCTCCTCTGCCGGCTCCAAGGCCCGTGGGAAGCAAGGGCTGGGCACAGCCTGGCCAGGTGCAGGAGCACCGGTCCTGCAGCAGCCTGCCGGATGGATCCCAGCCCTGCTGGCGTGCCCGTGGAGCCTGCAGACCTGCTCCCACAGCCTGCGCGTTGCCCCCTGGGTACCCCCTTGGCCATCCTAGCAGGGCCAGTCTTTTTTATTGATGACAGAGGAGGACCCAGCAGGCATCAGGAGCTGTTCCCAGGACGACCTCTGCAGCTTCCTGGGGATGGTTCACATCTTTGGGCTTTTGTCACTCCTACTGAGTTTGGGGGTCTGAGCCTATCCTTTGGACTGCCTGGCTCAGCCTCACCCCCCAGGACAGAGCTGGGCAGGGTCAGCTCCTCCCCACAAATTAGAATGGGTATTTGTATGTACTGAGGACTTACGAGGTGGCAGCCAGTGTTACATCAACCTGAAGATGTTCTTCAGTTTCTTCGCCCCAGATGCTGTGCTTAGAGCAGGGTGCACAGCCTGAGCGAGGGCAGGGCCCTGTAGAAATCTCTCAAAAGTGGTACAAGGTGCCATGTTCTCTTGTGCCAAAGCTGGGAACCCACAGAGTGCAGTGGGAACCTGAAGCCCAGCCAGCCCTTCAGGCATGTCCTGTGCCCACCGTGCCATGCAGCACTGACTCCAAGGTCTCGACCACACAGAGCTCCTGCCTCTGGCCAAGCAGAGGTGACATGTAAACAGAGTGGGCTGTCTGGGAAAAAGCACCCACCGGAGATGATGCAACCATAGTGCAAGGGGCAAAGTTCTCAGTTGGCTAGGCCTGCTGGCAGCTCCCAGAATAGCCCACAACAGGCAGTAAAGAGTGGGCACAGCCTGGCCTGGGAGCACAGCTCCCACCAGGCCCGTGAGCCCCAGCAGCAGGCAGCACGCAGGCAGCACTGCCTGGGCACTGGCAGGACTGACCAGATGGCACTTTGATCCAGGCACAGCGCACAGGCGCTCACCTGCACTGACGCTCAGTGGTACCTACGCATCTGCACACGCCCTTGCAAACACACATCCAGTCCCCCGTCCCAAACCTTTGGATATGTGCTCCGTTTGTGGACATGCTCACACGTGCACTGCATGCCCATTCCCCTGCCTTTTATTCCATGTTCCCTTACCGGAAGTGGAGTCTTTCCTTTCATCAGGAAAGGGGGTCAGGAGGCCAGGGGGGCCATTAAAACCTCCGTGTCACCATCACCTCCCAGCAGCCACACCACAGCTTCGCACACACAGGAAAGGGAAACTGAGGCATGATGCCGTGCTGAATTCCTCCTTCATTGCCAGATCCACAGAGCCAGGATCAGAGCTGTGGCAGAGCATGAAAGAGAGGAGGCAAAGAGTTGTGGCAAAAAGGGCAAATTGCTCTCTAACCCACCACCCTTTCCAAGCTGGGGAGCAGGGTCTTCCCAAAGGGATTAATTCCTTTGAACCTGCCAGGATCCCTCTGCACTGGCCAGCACCCCACTGCTGCTGCTATGAACCCCCATTTCATCTCCAGTTTAGCAAGAGCATCCAATCTGCCGGCCCCCCCGTGCACTCTGGCCCACCAGATCTAGGCCAGGGGTCAGTGTGGAGCTGTGAGTGGTTCTTGCACCCATTGCATAAGTGTGTTGTTGATTAAGCAGTTCCCAGAAAGCAAAGCCCAGGTACCGGCCTGACCAAAATACCGCCTGCCCCCCACCCCCCCAGGTCCCCCCAGGCCTAGCACTTACTGCACACATGGCTTCTAGGCCTCCGACCTCGTGTCCGGCGGTGCAAGTGTGGCACCTGACGACCTGACCTAGAGGTGCCAACGGACTGGGTTAAGCAGGGACCCCCCACGACGACCTCAAGCACCAGCACCTGAGCGTGGCTCCTGCCAGGACACCCGTTTCTGCGCGGCTCTGCCACCCGTGTCAGCCGAGCAAATGCCAAAGCCAGGTGTGATCCTCACCCCGGGGGCACGGCACAGGCCAGGCTCGGGCACTGAAAAGCTTCCTCCCCACAGGCCCCTCTTCGCTGGAGCACGCGCTGGAGGCTGAAGACTGGAGGAGAACCCGGGCGGGGGGCTCAGGGGAACAGCCCACAGGACTGCGGCGCAGCAAGGGCTGGAGCAGGCGC